TCAGCCTTTTTGCTCCTATGATGCTGCTTGGCCTGCTGTGTTCATCCAGCTCTGCACCTTGTTGTCTTGCAATTTAGAAGTTGGATTTTCAGTCAGTAAAAGAATCAGGATCCAGAGTTGGCAAGGGACAACAGGAAGGTGATAACAGGGCTGGGGACACCAGCTTCAGCAGATGGTTGAACACAGGGTTACGTTTTGCAGAGTGCAAATACAGCGGCTGCTGTCCTATTAAGGAAGGCAGCTTTCTTCAAGGGTAGTGGCCACTGCTGAGACAGGCAGGAAGCCTGGGACCTACAACAGGTAGGCAAAAAAATTCTGTCAGCTTCTGATCCCAGCATCTGTAGACTGCCCTGACTGCAGAACTATATTGGGAAGTTGATCCTACAAGGGTCCTTACAATCTTACTATCAATGGCCCCGCCTCTGGCAGTTAGCAACATTCGGCCAAAGAATTTTGTTTTGGTTAATCAATTTGTGGACAAACCATTTTGCTGGGGATCCTGGAATTCCACTCCCAGCTGACGGGACCATGACAGCATTCCTCTCTTCAGTTAGAGTCAGTCTTCGTTCCAGCAACTGCGCCTCACGGTCTGCATCATCTTCAGATTTATCTGCAAGATACACGGCATCAAATTCACATGTGACTCCAACGAAGTGAGGTGGGGTAACAGGTTGCTGGAACACGATTTCAAAAATCCTGTTCATTCAATAGAGAATGGATAGGAGACTGCCAGCACATGCGTTATGTAAGAACTTGTATGTCACCAATCATGGACAGGACATCATACATCTAATACATACAAAATATTGGCACTCTCAAAACAGAAACGAGCTTGATTAGCAAATAACTTTGCACTATTTTAAACATGATTAATTTCAGGAACCGAGCCTCTGAAATTCACAATAATGACTAACATTTGAATTCATAATGCAGCTTTCTCTGATGACCCCACATTTACATTGGGGCGGCACGGTGGCTCAGTGGTTAGCACTGCTGCCTCACAGCGCCAGGGACCCGGGTTCGATTCCAGCCTCGGGCAATTGTCTGTGTGGAGTTTGCACATTCTCCCCGTGTCTGCATGGGTTTCCTCTGGGTGCTCCGGTTTCCTCCCACAGTCCAAAGATGTGCAGGCTAGGTGGATGGGTCATGCTAAATTGTCCATAGTGCCCAGGGATATTTAGGTTAGGTGGGTTAGACATGGGGAAATTAGGGGAATGGGTCCGGGTGGGATGCTCTTCGGAGGGCGGTGTGGACTTGTTGGGCCAAATGGCCTGTTTCCACACTGTAGGGATTCTATGATTCTAAGGGGCTGTGACGACTTCTATTAGTATGTCGAGTCTGAAAATCAGATTGCTGAGGACAGGAACAGATTGAGTTATGATAGCACACAGAGGAGCCTGCTGATACTTACTATACAGGCTCATACAATTATAGCTTTGAGTGAGTTCTGATGGGTGAGTGTTGCTCACAGATTGACATCTTGCGTGGCATATGGCCTGAAAGGGACAAAGGGTAAGAACTGGAAAGACTGCAGCAGTAAAGACAGAATTTAGTGGATAGATCGTAATCAAGAAAAGCCACAGTAACAAATTGGTTTTTCAGAATTAGTGCCTCCGAACTTGCTTCACTTACTGGATTTGCTAGCAAGTTTCTGGAGCTGCTTGTCAAGGTATTCCTGCCTCTTGGTCAATGCACCTAGCCATTTCCGACGTAGCTTCTCCAAATCCCTCTCCTATAAGATATTAGAAAGAGTAAATGTCCTTGCTCCTTACTTTTCTTGTTTAACATAATATATCTTCCATTATAACCCTTTACAATACATTTATCATCGCCTGGCAAGACAGAAAGAGAGAGAGACAGATATGGAAGTACACCAACCAAAGGGATCTCCAACACAATGGGACTCAGGTCATCAGAAACACTGTTGGCAGGGTCACATGTCTCACACAGACTACAGACACATCTCAAAATCATCTATCATACACATGCTATCGACACAAGACCAACAGATTGTTCACATCTACAATCAAGAATGTCTTCGAGTCCTCAAGTTGTCCAGGATCAGAGTTGATGCATGGCAAGTCCTCTCTGCTGACTGGACTGCTTGGAGACAATATATCAGGAAGGGCATGATAAGAGCAGAGGACCAAAGTAATCACCAGACAATGCAAGTGAGAAGCACCAGAAGTCAAAACCATCAGTCAACGTCAGTCCAAAGTTATTCATTTGTGCCAGCTGTGGAAGGGACTTCTGCTCACAAATCGATCTCAAAAACTCAATCTAGCCCCTCAGCTCCCAAAACAGATGGTTGTCTACATCATAATAAACTACATTTTAGTTGATTTTCGGGTTATTAGTAAAATAACTAGAATTAATTGGGCAGACGAGATCCAACTCTTGATAAATATAGACTGGTGAACACAATACTGTCCTCTTGAGCATTTCACGTTTTCTTCTAGGATGCTTAATGTGTTAAATGAAAAAAATATTTTATCAGTATAATAGGGAAATCTCTTTCATGACCTCTTTCAAGGTATCATATCGGGCTAGACTGAGTTTTGCTCGCATCTTACACTTAACCTGACAATGCTCAGTGGGGTCATTAAATGGAAAATTGTTCATTCCATGATAACCCCTTCATGTAAACCTACCGTATAAGCAGATCAATCAAAAGCAAATATTATCACAGTGCAAAGGTATGTGCTTTTATAGAATAGATGCGGGGATGATGTTTCCACGAGTAGAGGAGATTAGGATCCAAGGGCACAGCCTCAGAGTGAAGGAATGACCCTTTAGAATGGAGAGGAGGGACAACTTCTTCAGCCAGAGGGTAGTAAATCTGTGGAACTCAGTGCTGCAGAAGGCTTTGTATGTCTTTAAGACAGAGATAGATAGGTTCTTGATTAATGAGAGGAACAAGGATTACAGGGAGAATGCAGAGGTTCAGAATGAGTTTCAGAAACATATCAGCCATGATCAAATGGCAGCGAGACTCAATAGGCTGAATGGCATAAAATAATTTCGAGGTGTAAGTAGTGAGTTTTATTCAACAGGGCATCTTTAATACATCAACGATCTAATCAAAGAAAAACTAATAGTGCTTTCTTGGTCCTCAGGCTCTATTTAAATCTAACAGATGTACCAGAGCTGAATCGCTTAAGGCTTTCGTGTTTGTTGAAAGGAGATTTCCAACAACATTTGTGTGGCAGTTGTACCACTGACAGCCAAGAGAGGACAATTTACATAAAATGAAGACAAGAATAGACAACAGAATTCTAAAGCTATCAAATCATACCTGGTAACTGTCCATGTCATCCTCCTCTTCCTGTGCAAAAGGTAAAAGCAAATGTCAAAGCAGTGCAAAAATAGATGAGGTATACATATTTATAAGTTGGATGAACATTTCACATAACCAGGATCACCTTAAAAAGGGTACTGTATTTACTTAACAGCTGCACAGTATGCATCAAGTTCCTTTCCTGCCAAAAGAATGACTTGCAGTAGACAAGGTTGATTATGTCAACTAGAGTCAGCATCACAAAAACTTACTTGAAATCAAGCAACAGACAACCAAGAACAGTAGCAGCAGCAGAGATTGAACTGAAGTTATAGTGTATGATACAGTTATCTCAAAATGTTTAGTTTGCATTTTGCTTTCCTTTCATTCAAACCTCCTTTACCAATTCAAAATGCAACATATGCCAGTTTTCTATTTAAAAAAAAAACCATGGTTTTGACCATGATACTTAAATCCCACACTGTATGATCCTCTGTGCCATTTCTAATTAATCACTTGAAATTGTTCTGCTTTTACCAACAGTAACAGACCTGAAACCTCTTACCAAGTGGGAATCTTGATATTTCTGGTTTCTAGCAGGTCGGGTTCTGACACATCCCACAGCAATAGATATAACTGCTTCAGCAATTAGAGGCAACGTCCCGGAATCTTGGACTGACCTCACTTCAACTTGAATACGTCGAGACTGACCCTGGAAAGTGACGGAAGATAGATGAATCACGTCTTTATCATAAAGACCATTGCGTTGTTCACCCAAAAAAACAGAAAGTATCAGAGACAGACAATGGCACATTTCAAAATAATGTATGAATCATAAGAAATAAATTCAAAGATTATTTGTCCAAAATAATCAAGTAAATAGCAACCAATATAAATTCAAAGGAAGTTCCTGTCTGACCACTGAAATGAACTGTGATATATCATACCCAGTCATCCAAATGCATTTGTAAAAGTTTCCTTTAAAAAGAAATTAGTAAATTTATTGTAAATCTTGGGTACAAATTTTGAAGAACTGGCTGTAGCATTGTAAACAACACAGACTTGTGAAAAGATGTGGAGATGTGAAGACCCCAGGAATTGGTGTTTGCGGTCACTTAGTTTCTCATCTATATCAGTCACCTGCACTCATAACCCCAATACAAATTTGTCCTATTTTCAGCCAGTATCAAACTAGAAAGGGTCAGTGGAATTGAGAGAGACATCAATCAAATGAGTTAAATACAATAGCTGGAAACCAATGGTAGATTAAATTTAATGCAAATGTAAGGTGCTACATCAAGGAAGGAAAAATGGTTGATCTATATTTGCATAAATGGCACAGAAATAGCCACAAATAGAGTTGAATAGCATCTAGAACACTTAGTAAGCTTGATGCTAGACATGTCTAATTAAATGTAGGACTCCAATCAACAAAGCAAGAGAATAGTGAACTGCATAGCCAAAACATCACTATATCAGTCAGTGGAAGTCATGATCAAACTGTCTAGTGTACTCACCTGGCGACACTTTACGTACTGTGGTCAGAAACATGCATGTTCTAGAAGCTACAAAGGGCTGAGCTACAAGTTAAGAAACAAGGTCTTTTAGGGGGAGACAATGGCCTAGTGGTATAATTGCTGGACCATTAATCTGGACACCCAAATAATATTCTGGAGATCCAGGTTCAAATCCTACCACAGCAGATGGTGGAATATGAATTCAATAAATATCTGAAATTAAGAATCTAATGATGACCATGAATTCATTGCTGATTGTCAGAAAAATCCATCTGGTTCACTAATGTCCATTAGGGAAGGAAACTGCCATCCTTACCTGGTCTGGCCTACGTGTGACTCCAGTCCCACAGCAATGTGGTTGACTCTTAGCTGCCTTCTGGGCAATTAGGGATGGGCAATAAATGCTGCCTAGCCATGGACGCCCTCATCCCGTGAATGAATAAAGAAAGGGGAAAAAAAGCCTTGAGCACACATGCCTGTCTGAGAAATGATCTCAGAGAGGTACATAAAGCAGTGCAAGTGTTTGGAAAATGAAGAGAATGAATATGTGAATGAGAAATTGAATGAGAATTAAAAGGTAGGATGTGAATATGAATAAAAGACAAGTTTAAGATTAATGCCCGAAAGTTATCTATACTAATCAACCAGTACATTCAATGGACTGCATAGTTTATAAGCGCAGGCAAGATTCTGAAATCATTTTGAGAACTTATTCAATGCTAGCTTGGTGGCACAAGAGGTTCTTTTTTGAATGGATGAACTGTAATAAGCTAAATAGCCCTCCATATCTATAACAATCTGGCAATGTTTTGAATTATACTTGCAAATGTTTGGTTCAGCATTACCTACTCCCAAAGTACAAGTCTTTCTCTATCAGGATGTGCATCACCTGTCTTTTGAGAGTCAGCTGTAATAACATGGCAATATAAAAACAGTTGAGGTCCAATAATACAATGGGGGTGAGGACAATCTCCCGATTCCCCAACACGACTTTTTGAAGGATTAATTGACTAAGGATGGGAAACCCTACATAAAGAAAAAGAACTTCCTAAATTCTTTTTGCCTTCTTATCAACTGATAGCTGGCACGATGGTATCACCAATATAGATAAAATTTGGTAAAAATTACAACCAAAGAACTTGAAACCTCACCCAGGATATGATCTCATACTGTTGGGACTGGTTGGTAACCCAGACGTCAATGCTACAATACTGAAAAAAAAACCTGGTAATGTGAACAAATGCAAGGAATTGCTGTCATATTACTCTGACAACCCAACTGCATCACTAATTTCCCTCAGAGAAAATAGCCCCTAACTCCTCCCCTACAATTCTGGCCTCCACGTGACGTAACTACATTCGTGCACTATATGGTTGATGCTTGATGCTATAGTATGTATTTTAACTATATGGTTGATGCTTGATGCTATAGTATGTATTTTAACTAGGGCAACAATCACTATTTTGTGTGGGTTGCTCACAGAAACACATTAATACATCCTACAAGAACTTTATCTGAACGATTACAATATCTTCCTCCTGCCAAAACTGCATTCTCTCCATTCCACCTCAACATTAAACTCCAAAAAGACATCCAGACCTCCATCCTCACTGATGCGCAGCTTGGAACTCTCCTGCCTTGCCGTTACCTGCCGTAGCTGAAAGATGCCACCGGTGGAAACATCTTTTGAGAAGGTCACCTCCACAGGAACATACTCGCCATTCTCATTCAGTTCCAAGATTTGGATCCAGAGCTCTACCTTTCGCATCACTTCGCTCCACCTGTTGATATAAATAATCATCCAGGTATACAAATTATTATTCCATGAATCAAAGGTTAAACCGAATGGTCATCAAAGTTCCTCCTGTATTACAGGTTATTAGTGGCCTTGATTATATAATATTATTTTCATTTATGGCAAGAGGTTTACTGTAACATTTAGCTCTCTCTAATGGTGGGTTAAATGAAATATAAATAATTTATTACTTCATCTTACCATTAACTATCGTATGTTCCACCACAATGCACTTGGTCAGAACATCAAAGTAAAATCAGTTTTTGGCTTTACAGGTGAAAATTGAACATACTTAAAACTTACTCATTGAGCCCTCTTATAGCACATAGTAGTCTCCCAACCCCTGGAGCGGGAGGCCCAGGTTCAAGTCCGACCTACTCTAGAAGTGTGTAATAACATCTCTGATCAGGTTGATTAGAAAAACAGGTTAATAAAACCTACTCAGCACATTAGCATTGATGCACTGTAGGGGAAAGAAATAAAGCACGTAGTCCAAATGTTGTACATTCTATGTGCCAACTAAGTGTATCAAAATCCAGCCATGAATAGCATGTACCTGGAAACTGTAGTCCTCATCTTCAGAAAGTAATCTCCAGCAAATGCACACTTGAACACTTGTTTCTCTAGTGAATAAAACTATGGTATCTCCTGGGAATGATATGCACTTTTAATATAAATTTTGTCCAGCTATCAGCCCAGGAAGGGTGCAATGTGTCAATAAAAGATAGTGTGTTAAAACAGAAGGTGACAATTTGAGTTAAAGAATTGAAAAATGACAAATCAGGACAACCAACTGATATTAGCAGAAACAATAAACTTGTGCTTGATTTTGGAAAACCTATTATCCTTCAGGGAAGGAAATCTGACATCGTTACTTAGTCTGACTATATGTGACTCCAAGTCCACAACAAGTGGTTGACCGCTCTCTGAAATGACTTAGCAAGCCACGCAATTGCATCAAATAACTACAAAATCTAAACAAAGGATTGAAACTGTACAGACCACCCAACATTGGAAATGACAATGTTAAACACAGCCCATCAACCCCTAAAAATCCTCCTTACCAATATCTGGAGAGTTGTGTCAAAATTGGGACAGCCGTCCCATGGACTAGTCAAACAACAGCCTAACTGTTATACTTACAGAATCATATCATTCCGCCATTGTCCTAAACACCACCATCACTATTCCTGATTAAGTCCTGTTCCACTTGCAAGACAAGATTCACCCAGAGATGATGGCATAGTGGTATATAATCAGGAAGGAGTTACCCTGGGATCCTCAACTTTGACTCCAGACCCCTCGAGTCTCATAGCAGCAAGTCAAACATGTGCTAAATGGGACCAAGTTCAAACATATTTAGTGACCCAAATCTGGATATCTAAGAAGCTGTGGTGCCATCAGCAGCAGCAGAATTGTGGTTACGTATTATGTGGATTACATGTTCCGGTATATCACCTGCTTTACCAGTATCATCAAGCCAGGAGTCCAACCCTAGTTCAAAGAAAAGTGTAGGAGGGCATGCGAGCAGCAGCACAAAGCGTTCCCAAAGGTGAGGCATCAACCTGGTGAAGCTACATCACACGACTACTTGCACGTTAAGCAGCAGAAACAGCATGCAACAGACAGAATGAGCAATCCAACAAGCAATGGATCAGAGCTAAGCAATATGGTCCTGCTAAGTCCAGTCATGAATGGTGGTGGATAGTTAAGCAAATAACTGGAGGTGGCATCCCACAAATACTCCATCCCAAAGACAGAGGAACAAAGCACATCAGTGCAAAAGTCAAAGGCTCAAGCATTTGTATCCATCTTCAGCCAAAAGTGACAATCTCTGTATCCTCTAGAGGTCTCCAACATCACAAATGTCAGTCTTCAACCTACTCAATTCACTCCGTACGATATCAAGAAAGCGCTGAAGACACTGAATCCTGCAAAGGGTTGGGGCCTGACAACAGTCCAGCAACAGCACTGAAGAAATGCTCCAGAACTACATGCGTCAATTACAGTAATGGCATCTATCCAGCAATGTGGAGAATTATATAGGTAAGTCCTGTCCACAGAAAGCAGGATAAATTCCCCCCGCGCAATGGCCCTATCATTCTGCTCTTGATCAGCAGCAAAGCGAGACAAAGGTTCATTGTCAGCGCTATCAAATGGCACTTGCAAAGGAATGAACTGATCATTAAAACTTAGGATCCCCCAGGGTCACTCAGTTCCCGGCCTCATTACAGCCTTGGTCCAAATATGGCCATGAGAACTGACCTAAAGAGAAGGTGCAAGTAACAGCCCTTGACATCAAGGCCGCAGATAGTGTGCCTGAGCAAAACTGAACTCGTTGGGAATCGGAGGGAAAGGTCTCTGCTCGTTGGAGTTCAAAATTAAGGTTCTGGTTACTGGAGGACAATCATCTCAGCCCAAAGGTATCTCTGCAAGTGTTCCTGAAGGTAGTGTCCTCGGTCCGAAAATCTTCAGCTGTTTCAACAATAATCTCCTCCCATCATAAGATCAGAGTGGAGATGTTCGCCGATTGCACAACATTCAAACATTCATGACGTTTCATACACTGAAGCAGTTCAGGTCCGCATGCAGCAAGGTTTGGGCAATATCCATTGAGCTGTTATGTGGCAAGTAACACATGCACCACACAAGCATCAGGCATTGACCATCTTCAACAAAGGAGAATATAACTATTACTCCTTGAAACTTAATGGCATTACCATCACTGAAAAACAATTTCAAAATCTTGAGTGTTACTATTCATCAGACTAGCCATATAGATACTGTAGCTACAACAGCAGGTTGAAGGTTAGGAATTCTGCTGCAATTAACACACGTCCAGTCTCTCCACTGTGTGTCTACCATTTACAAGGCAGAAGTTAGGAGTGTCATAAAATGCTCTCCACTTGCCTGGATGAATCCAGCTCCACCAACACTCAAGAAGTTCAAAAAAGTACTGTGCTTGATGCAGACCTCGATCCAAAACTTTCAACATTCACTGTCTTCACACTGATACACATTGACAGCAGTAGAACATAGAACAGTACAGGTCAGGGGAGGCAATGGGCTAGTGGTATTATTGCTGGACTATTAATCCAGAGACCTAGGTAATGTTCTGAGGACCCGGGTTCAAATCCCACCACGGTAGATGGTGGAATTTGATTTCAATTTTAAAAATCTGGAATTAAGAATCTAATGATGACCATGAATCCATTGTCGATAGTTGGAAAAAACCCAACTGGTTCACTAATGTCCTTTAGGGAAGGAAACTGCCACCCTTACCTGGTCTGGCCTACATGTGACTCCAGACCCACAGCAATGTGGTTGAATCTTAACTGCCCTCTGGGCAATTAGGGGTGGGCAATAAATACTGCCTAGTCAGCGATGCCCTCATCCTCTGAACGAATAAAGAAGAAAAAAAGGCCCTTCGGCCCATGATATTGTGTTGACCTATTATCCTACTCTAAGATCAAACTACCCTGCATTTTACTATCATGCATGTGCCTATCCAAGAGTCGCTTAAATGTCCCTAACGTATCTGACTCCACTACCACCGCTGGCAGCGCATTCCACGTGTCCACTACTCTCGGTGAAAAGAACCTACCTCTGACATCTCCCCTACACCTTCCTCCAATCACCTTAAAATTATATCCCCTCATAATAGTCATTTCTGCCCTGGGAAAAAGTCTCTGACTATCCACTCTATCTATGCCTCTCATCATCTTGTACACCTCTATCAAGTCACCTCTCATCCTTCTTCGCTCCAATGAAAAAAGCCCCAGCTCCCTCAGTCTTTCCTCATAAGACCTGCCCTCTAGTCCAGGCAGCATCCTGGTAAATCTCCTCTGCACCCTCTCTAAAGCTTCCACATCCTTCCTATAATGAGGTGACCAGAACTGAACACAATATTCCAAGTGTGGTCTAACCAGGGTTTTATAGAGCTGCAGCATAACCTTGTGGCTCTTAAACTTAATTCCCCTGCTAATGAAGGCCAAAAAGCCAAGTATGTACCATATACAAGATGCATAGCACTAATTCACCAAGGCTCCTTTGACAATAGCTTCGACACCCATGATCTCTCGAAGAACAAGAGCAGCAGATGCATAGGAACATCAACATTGTCACGTCACATAAAATCTTGGGTTGCTAGGTCAAAATTCTGGAACTCCTGCCCAGCAGGAATCTGGAAGTCCGTACATGCTGATCATGCAGAACCTCAAGAAGTCAGCTCAGCACCACCTTCTCCAGAAGGATGAGGGATGGGTAATGAATGCTGGTCCTACCAATAATGCCTAAATCCCATGAACAAATATAAAAAATACAGTTCCACAAATTTGTCCTGTTGAAAATACATATAGTTGAATGGGTGAGGCCTTGTGGATTACTGTAAAATTGTAATGAAATTATTTTTGCAAAATGTAATTGCATAATTTTTTTGGTCGAACATGGCAGACAGAAAATTGAAATTGCCGTTGGTTTGAATAACAATAGTTGAATGACAAGAATAATCCAACTAAAATTAGAAGCAATGAGAGAAGTGCATAAGCGCACCAGGGAAAGGGGGAGACAATTTCAGTGACTTCAACAGAAGTTTTAAGCAAAGTCAGAGAGACATCAATAGAAAGGCTGGGGGACAGGTATCAGAGTAGTGAGACATTACTTTAAAATTTCATCCATTCTCAATAACACAGCTTTCACTTCTTGCAATAATGTTTTCTACACAAGCCAGAAGGGGCAACGATCGAACAGAAGTCAATACTCAGTGTCAGAATAATCACCTATCCCGCAGTGATCGAGTTTTGGCTTGTATTATTCCCAGGTCCCATATGGAAGGGTTTTTCCTAGAGTCACGTGATTTATGACCATAAACTTGAAATGCCAGTGCTCCTTCGGAGAGATATTCCAACAGATCTTCGGAAAGGTTGAGTGAGAATTCCTGAACAAATACAACCAGATGTAATTAGCAATTAATTTCAAAGCAATATGCTAACATCCAACACAATGAGATTACTCACAGGAATACATTTTCTAGAGCACAAAATTTATGCTCCAGAAAATATATCCCTGAGTAACTCTGTGTCGTACACTGGAATATATTATTCATAAATATTTATTGGTCCAGAAATATTTGTGGTTTACATCCAAAGTACGTTTTAAATTCTGAAATAATAAGATAAAAACATCAGAAAAGCTGGAAACAAAATTTTAAAAACACAAATTAATACAATGTTCATATGCAATCTAAAGGGATAGGCTTATCTTTGTGTTTTAGCTTAAAATCTAAAAATGCAAAACATATTGCTGGTATAGCTTTGTTTTTACTGAAGGGTTACACCAAAAATATCAACTTACTTATTGTTGGAAAAGGAGACACGTTACCAAAGCTTTTCATCTTGCACCCAATTGGACAAATGCAAGAATGCCAAATTAAATAAATTTCTTATGTCGGCTTGAGCATGTACCCTTCGTTGTTTGTAACAGACAGAATGCAGACTATACTCAATAAGCCCACACTTGCAAAACCCGGAACAAACCATCAGATTTGATTCTGCAATTGGGCAGCACCTGCTGAACAATCCAGAGAGTGTGTTAACAGCCACACTAACAAGTAATTTTAGTAGTCAATCTTTTAACGTGGTTCATTTGTTTATTGGAAGTGACATGTATTCATATGTAGGAACACATTCTGTGTAAACAAATAGAACATTAAGGCCTTTTGTCTTTTAGAATGACCCAGGACCTTTGGTCAGACCCGACTATTTCTTGTTGTTTCACTCTGTGCAACACCGGAGTCAAGCAGAGTCTTCTACTGAAACATAGCAATGCTTGTACTTGTCCTGATAACAATATTCTGCAACATGTCTCCTTTACCAGCAAAGCATTTTCGCCAGCTATTCACTAACCTGCTATGCAATTCTAGCATTCTAAACTGACATCAAAATGAAGAATACTTGTTTCTGACACTATGTGCCCTCAATTAACCAAGCTCTGGCACAACAGCACATATCATCATCAAAAATCACTCTCTACGAGTACATTAGTCTCTGCAACCTATCTCTGCAGTCTTCTAGAAAAAAATGCCCAAATGTCTTCAAATGTTCGGGCTGCAAGCAATATGATATTGGATTCAATATGAAATCTCTTCAACAGAATCAAGCCAAATACCTTACCACATTAGAAGATGCAGTAGAAAGTCAGATGAAGTTTCAAGATTTATTCCCTTACCTTACAGTGGTCAAAAACAACCATGCATTCTGGATCCCTGCCAGCTGGTGTTAAGGAGGAAGGATCTACCTCCGGTGCAACAATGATCGGTTCAGTCTGATCCCAGAAGGTGTATTGGCAGAAAACAAAGTTTGATAGGTGTCGAGGCAACCCTGTAGCTTGAAGAATTTTTATCTGGTAAGGTGGGTGAGGGAAGAAAGAAAATGAATACAACAGTTTCATACATTAGATTTCACCAGTGTACTCATTTAGCATACCAGGTGCAATACTGAGATCTTGTAAAGTCATTGGTGATGTTGTAGAAAAAAAAATCAGTGGGAGAGATTTAAACAGGTGACCTGTAGCATGGGACACGAGGCTTTTAAAGACCCTTATATCAAGGAATTATTCAGCCAAGAGATCAAAATGTGGAGTACAGGACTAGGGCAGCAAGGACAAAACAATTTATGACAATTTAAAAAAACTGCTGCTGTAATTGTTGGAGGACAGAGAATGCAGGCGAGAAAGGGATCTGTCCCTCAGGAAAAATCATTTTTAGCCAAACACCATTCCTAGATTTCAGTTACCATATCACATCTTTATGAAATTCAATAATATAACAAATATTAAAATAAACTAATTAAGTTAACTGTTTTCACAGTTACTTACTGTGTAATCAATCCTTGTAGTTGTGAATGTTATTTGCAGAAGTACAGGCTCTGCCTTTTCTCATGAAGAGTGACATTGTTATACCAAGTATTTGCTAATGATACAAACTGCTAAATGTGATCACGTACAGCTATTTTTCATCTGGAGTCAGTTAGCCCAATTGGCTGGATGGCGATGCAAAGTGACACCAACACTGGTGGTTCAATCCCCACATCGGCTAAGATCACCGTGAAGGTTCCACCTTCTCAACCTCATGCCTTGCCTGAGGCATGGTGACCTTCAGGTTAATCTCACCACCACTTACCTCTGTCTCAAATGACACAGCAACCCAAATGATCCCCTGGACAAAGACAACTTTACCTTACCTACTCTTCATCTGTTTAACAACTCAATAACCAGAGTCACACTTACTCTGCAGACTATTTTGCGCACTGTTTCTCTCTCCTGCACGTCACTTTCGTTCGGACTGTCCAAAGTGTCGTCCCCACCAGCAATTCGATCACTAAGATCCCCACTTGTTCGCACCACTTCCACATGCAGGCGTCCTGCCACCTAAAAATTGCAGAAATAATGTGATTCATCCCAGCAGATGACTTAAATTTTGAATTTGAGGGTAAAATCACAAATTCAAACTTTAGGGAAGTCTTCCTCATACGCCTAAAAGATGATGGTAAAATTCTGATCAGACATGGCCTGGTGAACCAAAAGGCAACAACGGTGATACCTTACATAGATTCCATTGCACAACAATACTGTCGTTCTTGCCACAAAGGATACCTAAATGAGGTTGCACCAAGTTACCCTTTGCAGCATTATTTGGCAGTGCTCCTTTCAACACCACCATAGCTTCAACCAAAGGCTGGTGTATTCAGTACACAGTTGACTATGCTCTCTACAACACAGCTTGTTTGTACAACAATGAAGCCAGATCAGAACAGACAGACACATTGCAACACTGACTTGAGCTCCATCTACATTAATTATTACTTTTCCCCTCATTATTTCAGCTTTACATTTGGTTTACTTGTGCAGATACCAGTTAGTTGTCTGACAGATATAATGTCAGAGGTAGTTTATGCAATTCAGTTTGCAAAGCTAGAAATCATCATCCACGAATGAAAGCATTTGACTTCAAGCTAAATCCTTCACAGTTACAACTTGAATTTATTTACAATCTTTATTGCAATAAATGTTCCAAGGCATTTGCACAGGGCATTATAAAACAAAATGATGCAGAGTCATACAATGACTTATTAGGTCATTGACCAAATATTTGATCATGAAGGGTAGGTTTCAAGGAGTGGCTTAGAAGATCGAAGTGAAGCAGAGAGATACAGAGCAGGGTTTCCAGGAATTTAAGTCTAAGGTAACTGACGTTACAATCGTCAATAATGGAGTGTTAAAAAACCAGGGACGCACAAGAAACCAGAATTCAATGAGCACAGATATTTTGAAGGGTTATCATACTGGAGGAAATACAGAAATAAGGAAGAGCAAACAGGGACATGAAAACAAGGGTTAGGAATTTTAAAATCAAAGTGTTGCTTGATCAAGAGCCAAAATAGGTCAACAGGTCGGATTTGGTTTGAGTTATGATATGAGCAGCAGCGTCTTCTTCAAATGTAAGGTAGGCAAAATTAGGAACAGCAGCCAGGAGAAACAGGCTGTCTTTGTGATGGTACAAATATGATTCAGAACCTCATTTTAGGCTCAAATATGACACAGAGGTTGCAAACATCTTTAGTTTAGTTTCAGCCTGTTGTCAGATGGACTTTGGAATAGGCTCCAAAAACAACAACTCAATCTTCCTAAGACTTAATTCAGCTATACACAGCTCATCTTCTATTAAAAAGCTATTTGGAAAACACATTTAAAGCTTAAAGCAGGATTACACTGAATTCCCACATATTTCTGAGCAGACCTATAGAGACAAAATGCTGAAAAAAAAACTAAAATTTAAAAGAAGTAAAAGATCACACAACCTGAAAGGGAAATACAGTTAACATAGAAACATAGAGGAGGAGTAGTCCATTCAGCCCTTCAAGTTTGGTCTGGCATTCAACATGATCTTGACTGATCATCCAACTCAATACCCTGTTCCCACTTTCTCCCCATACTCTATGACCCCCTTTAGCCCAAGAACAATATCCAACTCCTTGTTAGTATTATTCAATCATTTGGCCTCAAACAGTTTCTGTGACAGCAAATTCCACAGGCTTTGGATACCGACCCACAACATGGCACAGGACATCTATTTTTCAAGTCCCAACAGATGTCCTGCACACCATCGGCAATTTTTACCCTTATTCTGTGAATTTACTGCCTTTTAAATTACTCAATTCTGCAAAACATCAATCTGGTATGAGAAAAGATTGTTGTGGAGTGGAAACATCAGAAACCTGAAGAGTAGGTACTGAAGGTAAATGGTCATCCTGAGAAATTCCCTTTCAAAGAAGTTCTGACCATCAATAGACCTACTTCAGACTGAATTTAGTAGCTAATGTTGATGCCTGCTTGGCTGTGAACTTGTACTTTTCATAATGATTATGACGCAGGAAAGAGCAAAACAGGAGCTTTAAAATACATATATATTAAAACCTAAATATACTGTTCATCATGACTTATACAGTGGTGGATGAGCTTGAACAATAAACTATGTATTTTGACAAAAATCAAACCATTAAAAAAAAGGGAGGCATAAACAGACACATTAACAAGCGGGCAATTCCCTTGCATATTATTTGAGAATTTCTTTTTAAGATTCTGAGGGGTTTGATTTAACATCTCAGAGGTGGAAAGATGACATTCAACATTTTATAACTGCAGCCTTTCAACAATACCAGTGGAGTACACTGATTTATCACATACCTCTCCCTTCTGGTTAATGATGGGTACTGCATACTGCAATTTAACATCGTAAAAGAGCAACTCCAAAAATACATTTGCAACCCCAATAAGACTATGATTTTCTTGTTCATCAAAGAACGGGTCAGCTCGCTTGAAATAGGATCTCATCATCTGCAAAAGAAAGATCATTCAACCAACAGCCTGCAAATGAACTGATTCCATGCATACAAGGTATCAGAATATGATCAGGTACCTTAGTTATATTCATAATCACTAAGGCAATTCATGAATAACAACTAAAACAAAGTAAAACAGGAAACGTTTAAAGTTGAAATAAAACTCAACATGCTTAAAATATGCAGGTTCATCAGTATATTAACATTTCATGAGAAACACAGACTAAACTGTGTGCTTCTAATGTTCTCTCCATTCAACATTAATCGTCATCAGCTGTCCCTCAGTTGGAACAGGATGTCGACTCAGAGTTGTGTTTCTGCCATGGGTTGCCATGTGATGGAACAGGCCAATTCTTGAGCAATAGATCTTTGGACATGAGCAGCTGAATATCAATGGAAGCAGTAGGATTTGGAGTGCAGATTTTCTTCATATTCTTTCAGTATCAGTTCATGTAACAATATAATACAACTAACAATCTTTCAAATACAATTCAATGCCATCTGTTAGAACTTAGACTACCACCATCAGCAAGTCTAGTTTACAACTAACTGTATCAGATCTACACTTTAAATTGGAAACAAACTTAGATACGCACAGTTGTTGTGTCAAATGGTTGCCTTGCTATAGATAGAGCCTTTATAAACTGATAGAAGATTATATCTTGGTGCAAACAGTTGACAGGTTTGGCTGCAATAAGTAAACTTGATTTCAAAGGAAGATATTTTACAGTCTTATTTTCTTCTTATCAAAAAGCAAATTCATCTAAAGTTGCTCACATATATCTCATTTTGGAACATTTTGAAAGCACTACTGGCAGAAATCAGGGTATACGCTCTTCTTATCAGGTTTGTGTTGGTGGCCCACTGAAGGAAGAACATTTTTAATTTTGTTTGGCTCAACTGACGACACACACACACATAACTAATTCATTTAGAATTGTGTAAGTTCAGATCCCATGCTGCAAACTGAGCAAACAAGCATCAAAGGGTGGTCTCATATTGCAAGAATGCCTCATTGCCAAAGGCAACATTTGGATTAGGCACTAAAATCATTTGACATTGTTAATATGGAGCCTATTTGGTTTTAAATTGAAAATCCTCAGGCAGATCATTAAAACCTATGAATTGTTAATAACCTTAAGACTAGCGATCCAATTACTCTTTAGAGATACAATTCTGCAAGGCCGGTCTTCTGAAAGGAATGGTACACATTAGTTAAATTAGATCAAGTGGATATACTAACTTATTTTTTCATTCATTTATGAGATGTGGACGCTATTGACTAGACCAGCATTCACTGCCCATCCCTAAATGCATTTGAGGATGTTTACTCATGTAATTTTCATTCAGTACAATAACACACCATAGAAAACCTTGCATAAGTGACATAATGTACTTATTTAGGTGTTCTATGACAAAGTGTACGTTTAACGATAATAAAGGAAAATGTGAGGGGAGGGGTAGGAATGAGTGGGTGGGAACATGTGTAGAGTGTTTTTCATTGAAGGTGTCCAACCAAAAATTGAAAATAACTAGATAAACCATTAATTTCAGCTTTTTTCCATGTGTCTTAAATAACTTTTCCTCAACAACCACCACCAAAAACAGATTCATTGATATCTTCAGAGATAGTAGGAACTACCAATGCTGGAGAATCTAAGATAACAAGGTGTAGAGCTGGATGAACACAGCAGGCCAGGCAGCATCAGACGAGCAGGAAAGCTGACGTTTCGGGTCTGGACCCTTCTTCAGAATAGGTATTCAACAATAGGTATTTCAGCCACAAGAGGGGCATAACAGGCTCCAAAGGTTAAATGGCTCCTCCCTAAGTTCCTAAGAAAGTCTTGCAAAGTTATTGGCATAAAAGCCAAACTACTATTGCAATCTAGTTCAATTCGTTGTGTAGTTCACAGTAATTCATAAAAAGTTCCTCGCCTTAACACAGAACCAAACATTTCAAAGAGATAATAACACAGGGACCAAAACCAGCACCTCCGGCTCAAAACCTGACTTTTTTTTATAAGAAGGTTCAGAATTCAGATAAGATTTTACCAGGTATTAACATCTTCCTATTAATTAGCATCATTGCTTAAGGATATTTCTTAGCAATCAAATAGAGACATTAAATTAAATTTATGAAACTATTACCAGAATGCAGTTAAAATAGCATCCTTAGAACGCTCACTATGTGTATGAAGTGCTAGCAGAATAACTTAATGGTATGGCACCAGATTAGAAATTCAGAGAATAAGCAGTTAAAATCCTGTCATGGAAAGCTGTGAACTGAATTCGATAAACTACTTTATGAGCTAGCACTTGGAATAAAAGGGTTGGTCTGCACTTAGAGATCTAGTTGTGTTCGATCTGTTTGGAAGGGAATCTGTCATTCCTACTTGGTCTGATGTCCATTCAACTCCATTTTCATATTATGCATTTGATTATTGATGTCCCCAGGTGGTAAATCATGCCTGGTCAATGTTATTCAATATATTTTTTAAAATGAAAGTCCTCACTTTCAAGAATTTTTGCTTTTCCTAGTCAGTCACTTGACCTTTCAATGCCACATATCATCACCATCAGTGAGTGATAGGGACTGTTACTGGCATGTGAACGGACTTTTCAGGGTTATACCTGAAACATGCAAAGGCATTCCATATGTGACATTATTTTGTTAAGTTACAACACAGAGACAGTCAGCCAAACCAAATCAGTTTTCCTACCTCGGTATACACAACGCAGTAAAATTAAACCTAGGCTCCAAATAGTCAATCCAATGATTCCTAACCAGACTTTTGAATAACCAATCCTAGGCTTTGCAAATAATTAATTTCCAGACACCAGTTTTGTATCTTAAACAAAGGACTTCACTATTTATGAAATACACAATAACTTCAGCAAAGAGAAAGTTAAACAACACGATAAGCTGATTAACATCCATGCTTTAAACCCATACCAGTTATTTTCAGCACAAAAGACAAGCAGACAAAAACAAACTAACAAGCATAGTTAAGGGATGAATACAAGAAAATAACAAAACTGGACAGATTATTTCAATAGCTTTCATGATCCGCTGTTTCACAGACAGAAATGTGGACCCCTGGTTGTTTTCTGAAATATTGATTCGAGTCATCTTCTCAGTTCACCCTGGCAAAGGCAGCAATATTTCTAACTCAGCTTTCTACTCTTTGGGCTTCCGTAATGTGTCAATGTATAAAACTAGGTAGGAAGATTTCAGATCTTCACGCTGTTTTGGCAGCTGCCTGGAATTATTTCTCAGAAAACACAATTCAAAAAAACTTTAATTCTGGTTCCACCCCAAAAGACCAATGGACTCCTTCAAGGCCTCAATTCAACAACTGCCACCTGCTTGAAGGTAGGGTCTCTTTCAGACTTGTTGGAACCAATTCCAAGATACTGACCCCGTAAATAGCCAACTTCTGCTATCTGTTTAAATTACAACACTTTACCCAGGGGTCGTTGTATCTGTTAGAAACTTTCTAAAATCAAGGCTCAGCCTGTAATTAGTTTCCAGGCTTCACTTCACAAACAAAGAAAGCTTGGTTGGTCTGTTTTCTCCTCCCTTTTAACACAAGCTGTCCCAAAATCCACCAGTCATTTCCAGCTCAAAACTGATAAAAGAATAAAAACAAAAGTAATGAAAAGTCACTGAGGGTTCTAACAATCTCTTTCAAACAATGTTGATGTTTTAATTATCAAAAAAATCAAGTATACTCAGCACATAATAGGTAGCTGAAAATATACTTTAAGATCCCATTATTCCAATGAGTGATGTACATATAGCATGATATCACAGAGGAGAACAGTACTTGCAAGTTCACAAAGATACAATATTTACATACGATAGAGAGAGATCAAGAGGTACATGAGCTCTTTCTGTATATTCCCACATTCTCAAGTCTAACAATATGTTAAAAGGTGACGTAAATCTACTTACAGGATTGTCCTCATCACAGTCTTTCCATTCCTGGTAAAGTTCACGCATATCAATTAATCGGTTTTCTAGTTTCTCCAGTGACCAGATCTGTTTGCCTTTACCTTTCCTTCGTACCTGGATGGCTGGTTCACTGAGAATGGAGTCACGCTGTTGGAAACAGAGTGTAAAAGCGGTGATTTCTTACCCAAAAATCATCTAAAATGTCCAAACAGACAGACACAAGAACTTAGAGCCTCAGAAATAATTCAGAATTTATTTATCAAGATAAGATCTGTACCGACCAGTAACTGAAATACAGGGGGAAGCACTGGAATAAGCACTGTAAGAGACTCTACACTGTTCTGTGCAAGAATTGCCAGAGTCATGCTGAAATCAGCTTCAGATCTAGGAAGATTTCAAGACTGAAATCTTGTGACCCATATGTGTATGTGGGAGTGTAACTGAGGGTGCAAAAAGAGAAGGAGAAAGATATTTCTACCTGGAACAAGATGGCTATAAAATGAGTTACTCGACTATCCAAGGTTATCTTATGTAAACTCAGTGATCATTTACATGAGGAAGTCACAAAGTGTCATGAAACACTGATCAATCTCATTCACCAATGGAATCTAGACACAAAGACCTGGTACTTGAGGCTGGGACTTACCCCACGTTACATTTAAATGAGGCACTAGCAGAATACTAGCTGCAACCACAGATTGTATTAGTGGGTGAACAGAAACTGATGAGGCAAACTAATGTATGGTGCAATGTATATTCAAGAAAGAACGAGCTGTATTGCAGTTTCACTGTGCATGAAAATAAGGTGGACATTCATAATAACACATGTACCACACTCGGCACATTTCTGTGGAAAGTTAGTTCCATTAACATTTTGAAAAACTACAGTAACACTCCCAGATAAAACACATAATTAATTTGGACTCTGCATCATGTCTTACTGATGAAAAGGCAAACTGAAATTCTCTGTATTGTATTAAGTGAATTAACTATAGTTGAAAGAACTCTATAACATCATACCAAGTTTATTATATAAGTTACATGATGTGAAGCAAAATTTTTAAAAATCTGATATGTCAGAAATACGTAGTACGTTTGACATCATCTGCGGAGACAGAAATGAGTTAACATTTCAATTCTGATGTGAATGTGAAATATTAATTCTGCTTCTCTTTCCAAAAAATGCTTTCTGACCTGCTGAGTGTTGCTAGTAGTCTGTGTTTATTACAAAGGAAATTGGGCATGATACACAGCTTTCAGTGATAAATACTGGAAGTGAGTCAATGACTGTTGGAAGATCTAGAATCTGACACTTTTGTCAACTGCATTTATCTTAACAAATATAAATTGCACTCGTCTGTTCTCTAATCTCTTCAACATTTAGAAAGTTACTCATTTGTATTCTTCTACTGAATATATATTTAACAGCAGATGCCTTGCTGGAACAACTGAAACTAATTATACGATTGCTCCCTCTCTAGTCAACGATGACGCCATTCACAAGCAAGGAGCCAAAGCAGAGATTAATCCCAATACTGTGTAATCATTCACAGGGACAACAGATGTCTGCAGTAAGAAACAACATTAATGAAGATGATTTACATTCTGTGCAGTAATGACAGTTCATTTCTGATGCAAAGCACTGCTGTTCTGATTATAATGCAAATCAGGTCCAAGATAATGTGAATTAGGTCAGCAGAATAAGTGTTATTTGCAAGATGTACAAAAGCTTTTTTTATATCAATTAATTCAGTCCTAAACCAGGCAATGTCCTAACAAATAGAGATAAAAAGATCTAACAGAGAAATGAAAATTATACCCAAGGTACAACATTCTTCTCAAGACTGTGGCTTAAGAACTTTAATAGTGTGGCTTGGGGGAAACTTTACTGCCCATATCCTTGATCTTTCCCAAGCCAACACATTTGACATTCAATTTGGAAACGAAAAATGTTTTATCTGCCTCGTGAACTTCAACTTCCTTACAACTGGCTTTCTACCTGTCATGACAGAACCCCTGTTGATGATGACTTGTTTAATTGTTTCTTGCTCATTTTCAAGGGCTGTATTTTTATCAAATCATTCATCATTTGCTAATTCATTCTTGTCTCCTGAGAAATTTCAATTTCGTTCCCATAAGCCAGAGGATGCATGTGCAAATACATAACAGATATTTTTCAGTGTTAGATTGTGGATGACCATATTAATTATAACGGTGCATCTGCTCAGATTATACTTGAGCCATAACTCCTTCAGATCTCTGTATGGTAAAGTTACCTCAAGGTTCCTTTTCTCCATAATGAGCTGCCTCATAAAATCTCTTCCACCTGGTTTGTTCAGGGTAGAAGGACTAACATTCATGACCATCCATACAATTTTTCTTTTTAAACCAGTTCTCAAGATTAGTAGATAACAAGGTGTAGAGCTGGATGAACGCAGCAGGCCAAACAGCATCAGAGGAGCAGGAAGGCTGACGTTTCGGGCCTAGACCCTTCTTCAGAAACGGGGGAGGGGAAGGGGGTTCTGAAATAAATAGGTAGAGAGGGGGAGGCGGATAGAAGACGGATAGAGGAGAAGATAGGTGGAGAGGAGACAGATCGGTCAAAGAGGCGGGGATGGAGCCAGTAAAGGGGAGTAACCTTTACTGGCTCCATCCCCACCTCTTTGACCTGTCTGTTTCCTCTCCACCTATCTTCTCCTCTATCCAGCTTCTATCCGCCTCCCCCTCTCTACCTATTTATTTCAGAACCCCCTTCCCCTCCCCCGTTTCTGAAGAAGGGTCTAGGCCCGAAACGTCAGCCTTCCTGCTCCTCTGATGCTGCTTGGCCTGCTGCGTTCATCCAGCTCTACACCTTGTTATCTCAGATTCTCCAGCATCTGCAGTTCCTACTATCTCTCAAGATTAGTACTTTAAACTATCAGAGCTTCTACCAAAGCAGAACTTTACCAGGTACATTGAAACACAGGATATATCAAAGCTCACAGCACTTCAGGAATACTAAAATAAAAGGAAATCAAAGTCATACTCTCAATTTCCATCTTAACTTCAGAACATGGTACATATCAATTTTTACCTTTCGATTAGCATCTAGGCTGGATGCTGGAATCTGCAGAGTAACTTGATACTCTGTCTTCTTCTCCATCTCTTCAGCTATGTAATTTGCTTCATGCACATAATGATTTGCCTTGGCAATCTGCTCTTGCAACTTCATAAGACTGAGGTTGAGCATTGCTTCTCTGGAAGGATCAGAAATCCATTGTGAAAAGCAGAAAATGTAGTTCTAAATAGCTACTTACAATACACGGAATTATTAAAGAACACAAGATGTAAAATTCCAGAAGGAACCAAAATCCAGTTGATCAATTTTGACCCCATCCTCCAGCCATCCTGACACAACATACAAGTGAGTTTTAACTCAGGTGACAGCAGCAGAAATGTTTCCCAGAGGTACAATGCACATCTTCTTGAAAGGACGAGGAAAGAATCGCCCTGTGCAACCCTACAATGAGGTCTTCTACGGTGGAAAAACACAGAGCTTGCCACTGACTCACCTCTCTTCTGTCCACTGACGAAGTCGCTGTTGAGTACTGGGGGAGCCGAATGAAAGGCGCTCCATACTACGATAATGTTTCTCTGGAGACAAACGTCTACGCAACTGCTCCAGTTCCCGCTCATACATTAGGCGCTGTTGCTCAAGTGCAGAGCGCTTCTCCTCCTCATGCTGGCGTTCCAACCTCTGCAAAACCGCCTGCATCGCATCTGCCAATACAATAAGTCATGGAATCAATACAACGCGCAAAGTCTTGCCGCCACGTGCAATGTTCCATATCCATCAAGGGGTAAGGGGCAAGTTTTGTACAAGGTATGTGACAGAGAGGTTGGATATTCTTCAATCACAATTTATTTCCTTTTTCAGAAGTCTAACAAGCTACTATTTCATACTTAGAAAAGAAAATACTCCAGCTGCTGGAAATCTGGTATAAAAAAAATAGAAACTTCTGGCAATGCTTAGTAGGTCAGGCAACATCTGAAGATGGAAATAGAATTAGTGTTTCAAATTGAGACTTGCATCAAAACCTGAACTGTCTATCTAAAATTCTCTTCTGCTGCCAGATCTGCATGATAGACGGTTCAAGGTTTTGATGCAAGTTCTCAATTTGAAACATTAATTCTGTTTCCATCTTCAGATGTTGCCAGAGGTTTCAATTTCCAGCACCCGGTGTGTTTTCTTTTCCAAGTATAAAATGGTAATCTATTAGACTTCCAAAAAGGTAAAGAAGTTGTCTTTGAAGAATATCCAACCTCTCTGTCACTGGGCCTGAAATGTTAACTGATTTCTCTCCAAAGATGCTGCCAGACCTGCTGAGCTTTTCCAGTAGTTTCTATTTTTGTTTCTGATTTCCAGCATCCTCAGTTTTTTTGGGTTTTTTTAAACATTGGATGGGTGTTTGATAACCTTCGCAGTCACAATGGGTCACTTTATATGCTGCTAAATTCATTACTCTTTTGTCTATCACTTCCTCAATTCAAGCTGCTGATTAACTAATAAAATCCATGCAACATCAGCCTTTTACATGATATCACAATTTTAGTTTCACTGGATAAGCAACTATTGCAACCACAACTTAAATACGTAACCAGACAGATAAAAAATGCTCAGTGGTGGTGAAAGGTGCTAGAGAATACAAGGAGATAGTAAGAACTGCCGATGCCGGAGTCAGAGATAACACAATTTGGAGCTGAAGGAACACAGCAGGCCAGGCAGCAGAGGAGCAGGAAAGTTGATGAAATCTGAAGAAGGGTCCTGACCCGAAACATCAACTTTCCTGCTCCTCTGATGCTGCGTGGCCTGCTGTGTTCCTCCAGCTCCATATTGTGTTATCTCTAGAGAATACAAGCCTTCCTTTCTTTAACATAGTGCTATCTGAACCAAATTAATTCTCTAAGGTGAGGGCAGTAAGTGTTTCTTTCTTACCATTGTTGCCAAGAGCCTTCATAGTGACCTCCATCTGTGCAAACTCATAGCTGTAATTGCTTTCACTGGAGCCCTCACTGGCACTGTCCCCATCTCCATCCAGTTGCTCACTACTGGAACTTTGCTTCATGGGACTCTCCTGTCCGTCCTCTTCCTGCGCTTTTTTCTGCTTGGCTTTTGGCAAATTAATTCTGTTAAAGAACGAAACAAAAATGTTATTTCAGACTCAGCAGACTTAGAAATTTTGTATTCCAAACATGTTGAATCGGCAGATGCTTCCTGTCTTATGGCCTTACTTCTGCTGTCGCCAGTAATAGCTCCAATAAATACAATCAAGACTCCTCATCCTTAAACTGTCTCTAGGTAAACTCTAGCCCCGCCCCAGCCTGAATCCTGGAGAATGCAGCTGAACAGGTTTCACATGATTTGGAATGTGCAACATTTATCCAGTATCTTTTGCAACACAGCAATAATTAATACAACGAACCAGGCCTCAAAAATTCACTCTCGACTCACTAACATAATAGAAATATTATGACTTAGTTTCTAATTTAAAGTGCCATATGATAAACAGACTGGAGAAGAACTAGCAAACTTTAATTTTATAGTCACACAAATTTACCTGAAGAAATGGTTATTTCCCCAAAGGATACGATCACCGTGGTGAAGCTGCACAGGGTTGGTCAGCAGGGAGCCATTCACAAATGTTCTAGCAAGAAAGAGAGATTACAACCAGAGGCTGTGAAAACTCTGGTTAAGTTGACAACACAGTTAATTTCAAAAACTTGTGCCTTTGCATGGTGCCTTTAACATACTAAAAGATCTCTAGGCATTTCACAGGAGCTATACAAATTAAAATATGATACCAAAACACAAATGGAGATACAAGTGGTTTCAAGAAGCATCTTAAAGAAGCAACAGCTTCAATGTGATTTGGAGAAGTTCAGCGAGTGGACAAATCCATGACCAATAACGTATAATGTGGATAAACAAAGTACAATACTGCACAGGAACAGGCCCTTTGGCCCTCCAAGTCTGCGCCAACACATTTTGCCCTTCCATACTAAAACTGTCTTCACTTACAGGATCCGTATCTCTCTATTCCCTTCCAATTCACGTATTCATCCAGGTGCTTCTTGAATGCTGCTATTGTGTCCACGTCCACCACCTCCTCTGGCAACACGTACCAGGCACTCACCATCCTTTGTGCGGAAAAACATGCCTCGCACATCTCTTTGTAAACTTCCCCCACCTCGCACCTTGAACCTGTGTCCCCTAGTATTTGACCCCTCCACCCCGGGAAAAAGCCTCATACTTTCCACTCTATCCATGCAATTCACCATCTTAATAACCTCTATTAGATGGCCACTCAACCTCCTGCGTTCCAGTGGATACAAACCCAGTCTAACCAACCTTTCTTCATAGCTAAAATCCCACATAACAGGCAATATTCTGGTAAACATTTTCTGTACCATCTCCAAAGCATCCATGTCCTTCTGGTAGTGTGGTGACCAAAACTGTACACAATATTCTAAGTGTGGCCTTAACTAAAGTTCTATAAAGCTGCAGCATAACTCGCCTATCCTTACACTCAATGCCCCTTCAATAAAAGCAAGCATGCCATAAGCCTTCTTTACTACCTGATCTACCTGCTCCGCCACTTTCAATGATGTGTGGAGCTGCACACCCAGATCCCTCTGCATATCAATACTATTAAGGGTTCTGTCATTCACTGTATAATTTCCACCTGTACTTGACCTTCCAAAATGCATCAACTCACATATGTCCAGATTAAACTCCATCTGCCATTTTTCTGCTCTTGCCTCCAAGTGATCTATATCCTGCTGTATCCTCTGACAATCCTCCTCACTATGTACAACTCCACCAATCTTTGTATCATCCACAAACTTACTAATTAGACTAGCTATGTTTTCCTCCAAATCATTTACATCTTCTACCGCTACCCTCTGTCTCCAATGGCTAAGCCAGTTCTGCATCCATCTTGCCAGTTCACCCAATACCCTGTAACCACACCTTTTGTACCAGTCTGCTATGAGGGACTTTGTCAAAGGCTTTACTGAAGTCCATGTAGACAACATCAACTGCTTATCCCTCTCAATCATCTGCGTCACCTACTCAAAAAACTCGATCAAGTTAGTGAGGCATGACCTGCACAAAACCATGCTGACTGTTGCTAATAAGTTCATTTGCTTCTAAATGTGTATAGATTTTGTCCCCAATAACCTTTTCCAATAATTGCCCTACCACCAATGTGAGGCTCAAAGGCCTGTAATTTCCAGGATTATCCCTGCTACCCTTCTTAAACAATGGTACCACATTGGCTATTCCCCAGGTCTCCGAGACCTCACTTGTGGCCAAAGAGAATACAAAGATGTCTGTCGATGCTCAATTGACATTTTGGTACTTAAAACAGATTATCTGATTGGGAAAGGAGGTGGTGCAACCAAGACCTCTGCATCCTTATACACCAGTAGCTGAAAGTAAGCATCCAGGGACAGTAAGCAATGATGAAAGAAAAAGTTTTTGTAGCACAAGAATTTCAGTACAGAAGCAGGAGTGTCTTGCTGCAATTGTACAGGGTGTTAGTGAGGCCACACCTATTTTATTGCATGCAGTTTTGCTGCACCTCTCTCCTGCTCCTCATTCAGAAGAATGTTCTAGCTACAGAGGGACTGTGAAGAAGGTTTACCAAAATGATTCTTGGGATGGCAGAACTGGTAGATGAAAACAGAATGAATTGGTTAGGACTATGCAGATTGGCCAACTAGAGGGGTGACCATATTGGATTTGGTGCTTGGTGACGAACCAGGCCAGGTGTCAGATCTCTCAGTGGGACAGCATTTCGGTGATAGTGATCACAACTCCCTGCCCTTTACTATAGTCATGCAGAGGGATAGGAGCAGATGGTATGGGAAAGTATTTAATTGGGGGAGGGGGAATCACAATGCTATTAGGCAAGAACTATGGAGCACCAATTGGGATCAGATGTGCTCAGGGAAATGCACAACAGAAGTGTGGAGGTTGTTTAGGGAGCAGTTGCTACAAGTACTGGACAGGTTTGTCCCACTGAGGCAAGGAAAGGATGGTAAAGTGAAGGAACCTTGGATGACAAGACATGTGGAACAACTCGTCAAGAGGAAGAAGGAAGCTTACTTAAGGTGGGGGAAGCAAGGATCGGACGGGGCTCGAGAGGTCTACAAGGTAGCCAGGAAGGAACTGCAGAATGGACTTAAGAGACCTAGAAGGGGGTATGAGAAAACCTTGGTGGGTAGGATCAAGGAAAAGCCTAAGGCGTTCCTCACGTAAGCATAGAGCAAGAGGATGGCCAGAGTGAGGGGGCATAATTTTAAGGTGATTGGAGGAAGGTATAGGGGAGATGTCAGAGGTAGGTTCTTCACACAGAGTAGTGAGCGTGTGGAATGCGCTGCCGGCAGTGGTAGTGGAGTCAGATACTTTAAGAGACTTTTAAAGCGACTCTTGGATAGGCACATGCAGGATAGTAAAATGTAGGCTATGCAGGATAGTTTGATCTTAGTAGAATAATAGGTCAGCACAACATAATGGACTGAAGGGCCTGTGCTGTACTGTTCTATGTTCTATGTTTTATGTTCTATGTTCAGTAGAGTTCAGAAGAATGAGCAAGAGTGGGGATGGGATCTCATAGATACCTGTAAATTTTTAACAGGACTAGAAAGGTTAAGCACAGGATGTTCCTGATGACTGGGGAGTTCAGAGCTAGAATCACAGTGTAAGGACACAGGGTGGACTGTGACAAGGAGGGACATCGTCACCCAGAGAGTGGAAATCTTTGCAACAAAAAAACAGTCGAGTCCAAAACAGTAAATGTTTCCAAGGAGGAAATATTTTTCTTAAAGCTAAAGGGATCAAGGATATGGGGAAGAAGTAGGACAGGTTAGGGAATTGGATGACTAGCTATGATCATACTGAATGGTGGAATAGGGTCACAGGGCGAAGAGCCTACTCCTGCTCATATATTTTATGTTTTAGAGAGGGAATTCCAGAATTCAAGGGCCAAACAACCGATCACACAGTTGCCAATGGTACAATTAACATCAGCGATGTTTTAGAAGCCAGAGTAAAGAATTAGGATATCTGGGAGGAGCCTGATGTTTCCATATACAGATGGATAAGCTTTACAATAATTTGCTATACTGACTAGAGTTTACCTTTTAGCTTAAAAACAATAATTTCCACAGTCCAGGTGCAAGAGTCTGCCCACCTGATCAGATTAGAATTAATGTTGGTCATATTTTTAATCAACTACTCGATTTTGAGTTAAAGAATCTCACCTGGAGTTTTGCATTGGTGTGAGAATGACTCGTCTTTCTGGAGAAATATCAATGATACAGTGTTCAGGAAGTATTCCCATGCCACACAGTTGGATATCCTGGGAATCATCAGAGCCAACTAGAGTGTGGTTCTGTCAAATGAAAAAAAATTACAAAGATCAGATCCCTCTCTTCCACATTACAGACCAGATCTCCCAACAACCAGAATACCTGCTTTAGATACTAACAGTAACTACAAGTTGTCAATGCTTCACTGTATTATGATCTGGAATGTACAGTGAAAGTAGATTCCGTATTAACTTTCAAATGTTTGAATAATTGAAGGCAAGAAACTTGTTGGGCTATGAGGAAAAACAAAGTGTGTGGCACTAATTGTTAGGTGTCTAAAATAAGTGAGACAAGTTGAATGACCTCATTCTGTGCAGTCAGGTTCCACGAATAAGGATCATTCAGAAAGGGTACAATTATACACATACAAACTTGAATGACATATCCTATTTTCTACTGCCTTTGCAAGGCCACTCATATCTAGTTGTCTGCTGCTGAGACAACAATGCAGCATTTCTCGGAGAAACAAACCACTATACACAACTTCCTTGATGTAATGAGAAGTGAAGCACATAAACATGAAGAAACCAGCAAGGAAATTGAGCGAATCTTTAAAATTTTCTTTTCCTTGCCTTCTGCTCATGTTCAAAGCATCTTCCCTGCTTCTCCAGTTGTTTATTTTTGGGGAAGCACTGCTCCAAGGGATTTTTAAAGCTCTATTTGTAATTTAGAGATTATTGCAGTTTGATCGAGTAATAGTTATGAACTCTAGTTCTCAGTAGGTAGAACACTTGGGGGAAAAAAAAATCTATTTTAAATTCTCAGCCAGTACCGAAGACAATTATTTTTCATGGCAGAAAGAAAGGGGGCTGGGCAGAGCCATCATGCTTGCAGTTCATTTCTAGATAGGACTAGAAGTTCATGTTTGGCCCCTTGAGCCTGGCCAGTCATTCAATAAAGTTATCGCTGATCTGTGGCCAAACTCCATACAGCATTCTGAGGAAGGGTAACCAGATCTGAAACGTTAACTCTGATTTCTCTCCACAGCTGCCAGACCTGCTGAGCTTTTCCAGCAACTTCTGTTTTTGTTTCTGATTTACAGCATTAGCAGTTCTTTCGGTTTTTATTCCATATAACATTTACTCAGTTCCTGCTAGGAACTAACTTATTTATGTATGGATTAGATTGGGACAAATTTCAAGTCTGAGGCCCTTAGTCACCTAACCTAACCATGTTCAATTGAGGTCTGGCACTTAGCAATGGAACAAAGGGCTCCTAGCGATCTTTAACTCAATAGATCAAGCAAAAGGTTGGAAAAACCACAAAAGATGTTACCCTTTTAAACGCAAGTCAAAACAAGTTAATACAATTGTTTTTTGTCAGCTGTGAAAAGCCAATATGTGGCAACAGTAAGAGCTCTGCATAAATCATAGCCAAGGTTGACAATGCAATGTTAAAACAGAAATTACAATATTATCCACAAGCAACTGTACCTTTAAGTAGTAAACAAGCAGCTCATTCAAGGCTGGATCCGCATTCAGATTCACTAAGAAACACTTGTCATCTCCAACTTTGATACCCGAGGACTGGAGAGAAATACCAAGCCTTTCCAATTGCTTCTGGCGGTCCTGTAAACATAGTCAGTAAATCATACAAATCTATTTAAAAATATTCTGTGGAGGATACCAGGATATATTCAACACAGTATAATTGCAATAATGAAAGCAAAGACAGAGAAGCAGGGAAACTGACATAAATAGAAACTTCAGTCATTATTATTGAGGTAAATGCACCCCTTATCTGCTTAAAGCATCAGGCCTTGTTTAAACATCAACCAATTTAGTTACATTTTCATTGTGTACATAGTAATGCTTCAACTTTTCAGAGGATTGCTGATTCCGTACTCAAAACAGTAACAGATTGTTGTGCACAATTACAAATCAGTAATTAAATCAGGCAATTCAGATATCATCAAAAACAAATTAACATCCCAAGTTATCTGAACCGCTTGCTCAGATTACTGTTGGATAGTTACTGTTTACTGTTTTGTAATCAATGACAGACTTGGAAGTTAGGATCAAGATGAATGATATAACTGAAATTACAGAATGCATTAGTGCAACAGTGCATGACTGAAGACATACAAGAAAAATGGTAAACAGATCTGCAAGATGATCAAATAGACTTTGGAATAAGAAGGAAAACAGGCATGACAAAGCCAGTACAAATAAAAACAAGGAGGAACCTTGCAGCATGTGATTGTAAAAAAAGTATGAAAATGGGGTACATAGATAAAATGTTCGACATGGAGAGCTAAACAGCATCAGGTAATCAAAATAACATCAAACAGATGAGAAAATGAAAAAATGACATTTAACGTGACAGTTTAAAACAACTGTAAAATTAAAATGATAACAATTAAGAAGTCTAGATTTTATGTCAATAGCATTGAACAAATGTAATAACCCAACTTTCAATTCTTGCACTACGTATATATTGAAAGTAGCAAGACAAAATGAAGGACCACTAAAGGCTCTTTTATAGTTGTTAACTGAAGCAACACATGGATTTTATGGAATTTAGATGTTCACCACGAGAGATGGGGGAGCATGCATCTATTCTTCAACATTGACTCAGATACCCGAGGGCCAGAGAGTTGGTGGAGCAGCACAGACAGGATTAGTGAGCTGGGAGCAAGAAGAATCTGGACACAGCAACGTCCGTGGAAATTCACTCAACAATCTACAACCAGAAATATAAAAAAAGAACAGAAGAACAAAACAGAAGTATGGCACAGGAACAGGCCCTTCGGTCCTATAAGCCTGTGCCAATCATCATGCACTGAAAAACTAAAACAAACCTTCTTCCCTTATTTGGTCCATATCCCTCTATTCCCTCCCTATTCACGTAACCATCCAGACACCTCTTAAATATCACCAATGTGCCTGCTTCCACCACTTCCGCTGGCAATGCATTCCAGGTTCCCACCACACACTGCGTGAAAAACTTTCCTTGCACATCTCCCTTAAACTTTTGCCCTCTCACCTTGAACCTGTGCCTCCTCGTAATTGAAACTTCAATCCTGGGTAAAAGCCTCTGACTATCCACTCTCTCTATGCCTGTCATAATTTTGTAAACCTCCATCAGGCCTCCTCTCAGCCGCCGTCTTTCCAGTGAAAACCACCCTCGTCTTTTTTATCCTTTCCTCATAGCCAATGCCTTCGACACTGGGTAACATCCTGGTGGACCTTCTCTGCACTGTCTCCAAAGTTTCCACGTCCTTCTGGTAAAGCGGCGACCAAAACTGCACACAATACTCCGAATGCGGCCTAACAAGGGTTTTATATAGCTGCGATAACAAGGTGTAGAGCTGGATGAACACAGCAGGCCAAGCAGCATCAGAGGAGCAGGAAGGCTGATGTTTCGGGCCTAGACCCTTCTTCAAAAATGGGGGAGGGGAAGGGGGTTCTGAAATAAATAGGGAGAGAGGGGGAGGCAGATAGAAGATGGATAGAGGAGAAGATAGGTGGAGAGAAGACAGACAGGTCAAAGAGGCGGGGATGGAGCCAATAAAGGTATAGCTGCAACATATTTTGCCAACTCTTGTACTCCATGCCCCAGTCGATGAAGGCAAGTATGCCATTTGCCTTCTTAATCACTTTGGTCATCTATGTTGCCACCTTTAGGAAACTGTGAACCTGCACGCCCAGATCCGTCTGTATGTTAATGTTCTTAAGGGTTCTGCCATTAACATTATAAAAAGGATGATCCATCTCGGCCTCCTCCAGAAATCCACAGCATCACAATTGCCAATTTTCAGTCAATTCAATTCACTAAGTGGTACCAAGAAACAGCAATAGTACTGAATACGAGAACTTGCCACACCCCGAGCCAGCTTCAACACTGGCAATTGAAAAATTCCGCAGGTATGTCCTGTGCACAAAAGGCAACTTAAATCTGAACCAGTCAATTGCCGATATTTTGCGGTGACTCTTGATCATCAGTAGCGAGATGGTATGGGTCATCAACAGTGCTATCAAAGAGTATCTGCTTAGCAATAGCTTGCTTACTGACACTTAGTTTGGGTTCCGTCAGGACCACTTAACACCTGATCTCATTTCAGCCTTGGAGCTGAATTCCAGAGGTGAAGTGAGAGTTGACAACCATTAACGTTAAGGCTACGTTTGAACGAACGGCATCAAGAAGCAGAAACAAAACTGAAGTCAATGGGAATCGGGCAGGAAACTCCCCAGTGGTTGGAATCATACCTTGCACAAAGTAAGATTATTGCGGTTGTTGGAGGTCCCTTAGAACCTGTACAGCTCATTGCAAAAAAAGAGTCTAATCTCATCAATCCTGTAAAGATTCAAACTCGGGTCATTCACTAAGGTAGATGGAGTTGTAAGCGCTGCGTACTACCTGGCCCCAGCAAGATTCACTGAACTCATCTCCACTTACCTTGACTCTGTCTTTTCCCCCTTGGTCCAGGAACTCCCCACCTACATCCGGGACACCACTCTCCTCCAAGAATTCAAGTTCCCTGTCCTCCCAACACCTCATTTTCAATATGGACATCGAAGCCCTGTACACATGTATCGCCCACGCAGATGGACTAAAAGCCTTCCGCTTCTTCCTATCCCGCAGGCCCAACCAGTCCCCCTCCACCGATACCCGCATCCACTTTATGGAACTTGTCCTTACTCTGAATAACTTCCCCTTTAACTCCTCCCACTTCCTACAAACTAAGGGGGTGGCTATGGGCACCCACATGGCTCTGAGCTATGCTTGCTTCTTCGTCGGATACGCGGAACAATCCCTTTTCCGCTGTTATACCGGCACCGTCCCCCATCTCGTCCTCCGCTACGTTGATGGCTGTATCGGTGCTGTCTCATGCTCCCAGGAGGAGCTTGAAAAGTTCATCAATTTTACTAACACCTTTCACCCCAACCTCAAATTCACCTGGACCATCTCCGATTCCTCCCTCCCCTTCCTGGACCTCTCCATCTCTGGTAACCGACTTAACACCGACATTTATTTCAGGCCCACTGACTCCCATAGCTACCTGGACCACACCTCCTCTCTCCCACCCTCCTGCAAAAATGTGATCCCTTACTCTCTATTCCTCTGCTTCCGCCACATCTGCTCCCGAACATCCCAGATGGCCTCCTATTTCAAGAACCACAACATCCCCCTCTCCGATAATCAAACATGCCCTCAACAGCATCTCATGCATTTCCCCGCCTCCTTGACCTGACACAACATGTCCATCTTCTTCCCCATCTACCTGCCCTACCCTTCCCGCCAAGCAATCCCCACTATCGCCTACCTGCATCCAACCTATCACCATCCCACCTACCTTTCCCCAGCCCCACCCATCTTCTCCCCCCCCCCCCCTCCTTGACCTGACACAACCTGTCCATCTTCTTTTCCACCTATCTACTCCATCCATCCCACTGACCAATCCCCACCACTCCCTACCTGCATTCACCTATCACAATCCCACCTACCTTTTCCCAGGCCCACCCCTGCTCTCCATTTATTTCCCAGCTCCCTTCCCCCTCCCCATTTCTGAAGAAGGGTCCCGACCTGAAACGTCAACTTTCCTGCTCTTCTGAGGCTGCCTGGCCTGCTGTGTTCCTCCAGCTCCACACTGTGCTCTCTCTGACTCCAGCATCTACAGTTCTTGCTATCTCCAAGATTCACCTTCGGACGTCTGGTGAAGATTATATTGCAGAACATACCTGTGCAATAGCTTCAGTCTTCCTCAGCTTTTCTTCCCATGTAACAGTCATTTCCTGAATTAGTTTTTCAGATTCTTCCAAACGATCCTTCAGCTCTGGGGCTTTCATTGCCTGGTATGGAAAATGTAAATATGCGATTAAGCCAAAACGAACAATTCTAAAATCAGCATTTAAAACCAAAACTAAGATAAACTTGGCAACATGGGTTAGAACGTTTTTTAATGCAGCAAGTGGTCAGGATCTGCAATGTACTAATTTGAGTGTGTATTGGAGGCAGATATAATTGACTTTAAAAAGAAAAGGATAAGCACCTGAAAGAAAATCATTAGCATGGCTACAGGCAAAAGGCAGAAGTGGGACCATAGGAGTTGCTCTCAGAGAGACCCAGCCCACACACAATGGCCAAATGGCTTAAATCGGTCTTGCAATCATTCTAGGGAATCTGTTAAGAAGCTCAGTCTTTTTTGATTAACAAGCAAAATTTTCTGTAGGCCATGCAACTTACAACAAGTGTACACACTTTCAAGCCTGTATTCCAGTTAATATTTCATCTCAAACATCTCAGTCCCAGAGCAACTGAAAGTAACATTTGTGCACCTAACCTCAGGCTGTAAATGTTCTTGCAATTTTCACACCCCCGACAGAAAATTATCTAGCCTCGCATTTGGGATGCAGTGGCGTAAAGGTTCGGGTGAACTTGAACAAACATGTTCATATTGATGTCAAGCATAGTGATATATAGCACGGAGACAGACCCTTTGGTCCAACTCCTCCATGCCCATCAGATGTCCTATATAAATCTCGGCCCATTTGCCAGCATTTGGCCCATATCCCTCTTAAACCCTCGGTATTCATACACACATCCAGATACCTTTTAAATGTAGGAATTGTACCAGCATCCACTAGTTCCTCTGGCAGCTCATTCCATATATGCACCATCCTCTGCTTGAAAAAGTTGTCCCTGAGGTCCTTTTTCTATCTTTCCCCTCTCACTTTAAATCCATCCCCTCTAGTTTAGGACTCCCCCACCCCAGGGAAAAGACTTGGCCTATTTACCTTATCCATATCCCGCATGATTTTATAAATCTCTATAACATCACCCCTCAGCCTCCAACTGTCCAGGGAAAATAGCCCCAGCCTACTCAGCCTCTCAGTATAGCTCAAACTCTCCAAACCTCGCAACATACTCGTAAATCTTTTTTTAAACCTTTTCTAGTTTCACAACATCCTTCCTACAGAAGGGAGACCAGAATTGCAGGCAATACTCCCAACAGTGACCTAACCAATATCCTGCACAGCCACAACATGACCTCACAACTCCTATACTCAATGCACTGAACAATAAAGGCAAGCATATCAAACACCTTCTTCACTATTCTATCTACGTGCAATTCCACTTGCAAGGAACTGTGAACCTGCACTCCTAGGTCTCTTTGTTCAACAACACTCCCCAGCATCTTACCATTAAGTGTACAAGTCGTGCCCTGAATTACCTTTCCAAAACAGAGCACCTCATATTTATCTAAATTAAACTCCATCTGCCACTCCTCGGCCCATTAGCCTATCTGATCAAGATCCCGCTGTACTCTGAACCTTCTTCACTGTCCACTATACCTCCAATTTTAGTGTCATCTGCAAAGTTGTTAACCACACTTCCAATGTTCACTTCCAAATCATTTATATAAATGACAAAAAGCAGTGGACACAGCATCGATCCTTGTGGCACACCGCTGGTCACAGGCCTCGAGTCTGAAAAGCAACCCTCCACCACCACCCTCTGTCTTCTACCTTCGAGCCAGTTCTGTATCCAAATAGGTATTTCTCCCTGTATTCCATGTGATCTAACCTTGCTAACCAGTCCGCCATGAGGAACCTTGTCAAATGCCTTACTGAAGTCCATACAGATCATGTCCAGCACTCTGCCCTCATCAATCCTTTCTGTTACTTCTTCAAAAAACTTAAACAAGTTAGTGAGACATGACTTTCCATGCACAAAGCCACGTTGATTATCCCTAATGAGTCCTTGCCTTTCCAAATACATGTAAATCCTGTCCTTCGGGATTCCCTCTCACAACTTGCCCACCATCCACGTCAGCTTCACCGGCTTACAGTTCCCTGGCTTTTCCTTACTACCTTTCTTAAATAGAGGCACCACGTTAGCCAACCACCAGTCTTCTGCCACCTCAGCTGTGGCTATACAAATATCTCAGCAAGGGGCCTAACAATCACTTCCCTACCTTCCCACAGAGTTCTAGGGTACACTTGATCAGGTCCCGGGGATTTATCTGCCTTTATGCATTTTAAGACATTCAGCACCTCATCCTCTGTAATATGGACATTTTTCAAGATGTCATTATTTATTTCCCCACGTTCTCGTTCTTCCATATCCTTCTCCAAAGTAAACACTGATGCAAAATAGAGTTGAAAATAAACACAATATGTGCTTCTCCAGCAGTTAAGCAGATTAAGCTCAGCAGGAGCAGCACCTGTGGAGAGAAATCAAGGTTAACAGTTCTGAGGAAAGGTCACTCGACCCGAAACGTTAACTCTGATTTCACCCACAGATGCGGCCAGATCTCCTGAGCTTTCCCAGCAATTTCTGTTTTCGTTTCTGATTTACAGCATCCGCAGTTCTTTCGGTTTTTTGTTTAACAGATTAACCGGATACTCAGTGAAAATAACAACAATTGAGTTTGCAAGGTAAAATTGACATAGTCTCAGAGGACCGTTAAGCTGCTCGCTCATTACAGAGAGATAACTGGTGGTGAGTTTAACATGAGGGTCACCATTTCTCAGGCAAGGAGCAAAGTCAAGAAGGTGGGACTTTCATGGTGACTTCAGGTGATGCACGAAGTGAACGCACACTATTGGCATTACTCTGCAATGTAAACAAGCGGTCCAGTCAACGGAGTTTGTATGCTTGTATTAATCTAATTCAATGAATATTGGCAGGATCACAAGGACAAGGTGCACAAATCACCACCAGTCATAAAAATACTCCTGTATCACTACACACGGTGGCTCAGTGGTTAGCACTGCTGCCTCACAGCACAAGGGAATGGAGTTCGATTCCAGACTTGGGCGGCTGTCTGTATGGAGTTTGCACATTCTCTGTGTCTGCATGGGTTTCCTCTGGATGCTCTGGCTTCCTCCCACAGACCAAAGATGTGCAGGTTAGGTGGATTGGCCATACTGAAATTGTCTAGGCTAGGTGGATTAGCCATGATAAGCATGGGGTTATGGAATATGGTAGGGGTTTGGGTTTGAGTCTGGGTAGGTGGGATGCTCTTCAGAGGGTCAATGGGCCGAATGGTGCCCTTCTGCACTGTTGTGGTTCTATGATTCTACGTGTTGTGAAGTAGTACAGGTATTTACTGTGTAAAGAGTTCTGAAGTTAAACTATAAAAACAAGTGCTTGCGAGTCTTTGAACGCATACCTGTATCCTGCAATTAGATTAATGCCTTTATAATCTCTCCAAGCAGTCTATTCTTTGCATCCTGAGACAGTCTGCCTTTAGCATACAAAGAAAGGGAACTTGGCATTGTTCGAGTTACCACTCAGTAAACCTTTGACTGTGAAGGTTACAGCAGAGCCTACGTCCTGAACTGGAGCATTATGGCTTGGATTCTAAGGTTGGTGGAAAGCAAGGACACTCTGTTGGCCTCAAAGAAAGCGGCCTACAAAAATTTCGATGGCAGGAATTTCCTCTTTCTTCACAGGTGTTCAAATTTGGTTCCAAATAAAGGGCAGGAATAATGTCATCAAACAGGGAGGCAACCAAATTGGAGTGTTCATACACAATAAGAGTAATCTGCAATAATTATGAAGCTAACACATCCTTAAGATGCACCTCATTTGAGCAACAACTTCTTCCAGGGCTTTTAATAGCATTAGGATAGAATTTCTCAACAAGTCGTGACTGCAAGGGGAAACAGCAGTCTGTATGAACTTCTACAGTGCATCCTATAAAGGGGAGTAAATTCCCTGACAGTAGCTTCTCTGCATTTTCATGATATTCAGCGCATATATGGACACTAAGTTATCAGTTTCAGTGGAACAAAGATGGCAAAAGGTGACAGTTTCACCATTCATAGTACAGCAAACCCTGAGTATATAATTCACAGGTTATACTTCAGTTAGACAATTCTGAACAGCATATTTCGGGAAAAATGTAACAGCATAAGAGGAGGCAGGCAGGACCTAAACAGGAACAAGGACTTTCAGTTATAAGGGAAGGTTGGAAAAATTAGGAATGTTTCTCATTAGAACATGAAGTGACTTCACAGAGGTTATCAAAATGGCAACAGATTTTGATATAATAGACGCACAGAGGAAAAACTATTCACTTTGCGGAATGGTTAACGATAATGTTGCGAAGTTGGGTAGAGTATTTCATGTTTGTAAAATGATGGTGAGGAAAAGAGTGTGTTGTCCCTTTAAAAGATTTTTTTTTTATGGTTTGGAGATTTTAAAAAGTCTTCAGGCACCAGCAGATGCACAGAGTTCTTGAATTGAAACATTGGATCAAAAGACTATACTGTTAGCAGGCAAAGCAGCGTTTTTACCAAGACAACAGGTTTTTGAATTTAGCCGATTAAGTTAAACCAGGCCTTAGATACCAAAATCCTATTAAATTTAAATCTGATGGTTTTGACAACCTAGGACCGATCCTATTGTAAGAAATTAGAAGATCATCAAGGGTACAAAAGAAGAGGACATTTGAAAAATCGGTGAAAGAGCAAACGGCCATCTGAAGAGAGACTCACTGCCTCTCATAGAAACCTCTAAGCTCTCAGAGTAAGCACCGTCTAAATAAAAGAACTACAGCACTCTTAGTTAATATTCCTGACACAAAAGTTTGACGGAGAAAGGTGCTCCTACTGGAGGACAGTGGAGAAGGCAAAGAACATTCCAGAAGACTTATCCTGACTGTAATTTCAAGAGATTAAGTTTCAATTTATTTAAATTAACTTTGTTTATAGAATAGGATTTGTATCTACTAGAACAGCATACCATTAGAGTTTTGTTTTATTCGGAATAGCTACTAGTTAAGGGGGAATTGTTTGGTTTGTTAGTTGTTACTTGCTGATTGTCGAATTAACTGTCAGGAGTTCATTTTATTGCACCTCTCCTTTGTAACAGATTGGGAAGTGAGAGGCAGGTTACACCTTTTCACATTTCCTTTAACAAGATCATGAGGCAAGGCGAGCTTCTCTGGGCGTTTCGGTTTTAATCATGAGAGGTGGCGACCTCTGCTTCATAACAATAAGAAGCTACAGATTCAAAATTGGTGAAAGATTAGAGGCAACAGTAAAAACAGAAACGCTTTCACTCAATTGTCTATTGTTCAATCCTTCATCTGAAACTATTTTTAAAGCTAATTTCACAAATAACTGTAAAAAGGGAGTTAGCCAGGTAGATGATTAGTGAACTATGGACAATGAGCAGGGACATGGAACGAAGCACAATTGAGGGGCACAAGCATGTTAGACCAGATGGCTCCTTTCTGTGCTATTTGCTTCTATGATTCTATCAGACATGAAAAATGCTGCTTTCTTCAGTAGGGGTCACTGTGGCTCTGCATTCTCCTCTTTTTCCAACTTTCGTATTCATCTCATTCTTAGCTGGAAACAGCCTTTCAAATCAACATTAACCAGAATTTAGACCTGGAATGGCCCACCTGAACATAACAGCTGTCAGTGCATTTATTAACTAAGTGATTCTGGATTGGGTAATTGCCTTCAGATTAGGAATTTTTCTTAAACAGAAATATAAGTGGCTGCAGAAACTCAGCAGGTCTGGCAACATCTGTGGGAAGAAAGCAGAGTTAATGTTTTGAGTTTGGTGACTCTTAATCAGAACAGTTCTTAGGAGGAGTCACTGGACTTGAAACATTAACTCTGCTTTCTTCCTACAGATGCTGTCAGGCCTGCTGAGTTCCTCCACCAATTTCTGTTATTGCTTCAGATCTCCAGCATCTGTGGCTCTTTGTTTTATTTTATTATAGGAATTTGTCTTAGCATTACACAAAAAAAATTCCTTGTGTCTAATACTTCATGGCATGAAGCATTTAAAATTGTGCCTAATATTGACTGAATTATTTCTACTCCCTCCTTCAGATTAAATGTTTTATTTAAGTATTTACAATGGATTTGACAGCGTTCTGTTAAAATCCGAGACTCCCATCATATCATACCTCTGCTCTGGAGAGCTGTTCCCGCAGTTTATCTACTTCCTCGCGGAGTTCGCGGATGATTCTGGCATTGGGATCCTCATTCACCACAGCATGATTAATTATGTTTTTGGCTCTGTCAGCATACCTCAGCGTTGACAAGGTTTCATCATAATTGTCTGCTGCTGGGCTCACTGTTGCGATCATTGCTGTTTTGCTATTTCCACCAAGACTATCCTGTGTTTATGTTAAAAAAAAAAAAAGCAATGATTTGGACTAAGTATCTGAACTATACATACCTGCATGTATATATAATCTCACACATATATATCTGAATTGGACTGCAGATCTGAACACATATTTCATGGAAAAGGAGTCCTGGAGCTGGACTTGAACTCAAAATTTCTGGTTCAGAGGTAGGGGGCCATACTGATCTTCATGGCGGATAAATGATCAAGCAGTTAAGTACCAATATCTCACTTCTAGTCACTTTTCAATTTTGTGCATAGAAAACAAGAATGCATCCACATAGGGTGATGGCAGGATTAAATTCCTCTATAATATTCACTTTTTTCCTTCTCAATGGTCAAAACACCACCAATACAAACTATCAAAACTCACACAAGGAAAGATCTCTTGCTAAGGTACAATGAAGAACCAATGCTTAAATAATTACATCCAGTCTTATTTAGCATCTTTAAGAATTATGAGCTATTTTATATATCCATGTCCCATTCCAAAACAAGATACAAGATTAGACTGGCCAAACCTATTTTCAAATACACCTGACTATCAGGAGTATGAGAAACAAAAACAGAAGTTGCTGGAAAAGGTCAGCAGGTCTGAGGAAGGGTCACCAGACCCAAAACGTTAGCTCTGATTTTTTTCTTCACAGATACTGCCAGACCTGCTGAGCTTTTCCAACAACTTCTGTTTTTGTTCCTGATTGAAAGAACTGCGGATGCTGTAAGTTTTACTGAGGAGTATGAAAAGATTACTTTTACCCCAGTCTGGGTTTCATCCAAACACTTGACCAGTGAAAAGTCAAGATTAAAAAGATAATTATGCAAGATTAAAACACATGGGATTGGAGAAAGTGTATTGAGATGGGTAAAAGTTGAATCAGAGATAGTAGGAACTGCAGATGCTGGAGAATCCGAGACAACAAGGTGCAGGGCTGGATGAACACAGCAGGCCAAGCAGCATCATAG